AAAAAAAAAAAAAAAAAAAGAAGGGGCTCCAGAGACGAGAGTGTAGGGCAGTGTGATTTAAGTGTTTTAAGGACAAGTTATTCAACTGTAGAAGTTGGAATAACTAATTTCAAAAATATCAGTAAATAAATATTTTAAACTTCCAATGACCTATTTAAAATATACTGCCAGAAATACTGTATTTGAACCATTCTTATAAATTTGTCATCTTGCAAAACAACTGAGGCAATTTGGTATTATAAAAAGAACAGTGATTTAGAAATCAGACTAGGAGATCTTGTCTGGGCTTATTTGCAGGGAAATTAAATTATATGCTGAAGTCCCCTGAATAGGGAAGCCATACATCAGAGGATTAAAACAGATGATCTTTTGGTAAAAGATTCGCCTATGGGTCTATGCTTGAGTTTAGAAATGATCTTAGACACTGTCTTGCCAGTGGGTTTCAGCCCTGGGCAAGTTCACTATGGATTAAGTGAGACCAAAGAAATGACAGTAGAATGTTCTTGGGGTGAAAGGTTATACCCAACTTTATTTCCACAGTGACAGGTCAGTCACTAAAATCTTGTCCACTCAGAGCAAGTCTGCATGCAGCAAGCCAGTCTCTGCCTCTGGGCCTCTTTGCCCGCACAGCCGTCCTCTGGGCCTCTGTCCTTGGTGCTGCCACCACTCTGCTCTACTCACTTCTCCTGCAGCCTTGCAGCCTTGTAGCCGTGCCACTGTGACTCGCAGAGCACAGGGCAGAGCTCTTTGTATAGAGTCAGTAGCAATGTGAGCAAGCCAGCCAGGGCCAGGTGAAAATCCTGGCCACATGAACTTTCATTTTATCCACAGACACTTACTGGGAACGTTTGGGTGAGGGCAGAAGTTTGACCTTACGTAGCCTGCAGTGTTAGTCTCCCTCTGGAGGGCAGTGTATGAGGCAGGGTTCTGTTGTACATCGTAGATTACTGTCTAGTTGGTTTAAGTGGAAGGGTATTACTTGGCTTGCAGGATTGGTGGGGGGCAGAAGAAAGGCTCTTGGCTGAGCTTCCAGGAAGAACTCCCAAAGTCAGAGCCCAGAGCTGTGCCTCTGCCATAACAGGAGTCTTCAAATCAGGAAGCTGCCTGCCCAGCTGGAAAGCTACCACCACACTTACCAGCTGCAGAAGCTTCTTGCATCTGCTACAGTCCATCTCAACGTGGTGAGTGCCCTGTGCACTGCCCTCTTCCCACTGAATTGGGTCCCACTCCAGGTCCTGCTCAGTCTTTCTTATTGGTGATGCCTAAACTTCATCTGAAGTCCTAGCTTCAGGGAAGTCCTGAGATGTCATCTTTTCAACCTGTGTATGCCAGACAAGCCAGGCCATTGTATCCACCATGGGCAGTAAGCTAAATATTTGTGACAACATTTGTGTGTGTGTGTGTGTGTGTGTATTTTTTCACAGTTTGCAGAGGAGGCTCACCTCCTTTTTATTTAGAGCTGTTATCAAGTCACTGTACATACAAAAATTCTATTTCTGTCCATTCCCAAAAAACAGCTCTAATAAAAATGGAGAGCAGTACGTATATTATTTCCTAAAGTTGCAAAGGTGATACAGAAAACAGGGTTTTAAATTTGGGAGTCTCTTTCCAGATTTGTTTATTTTCTCGACGGTTCTGTTTCCATCTGTGTCTTTTCCCCCATGGGAACATCCTCCACTTTTTCAATTTGATTTGCTCTTTACCATGCAGACCCATTAATGAAGAGTCAGAGCCCTCAGAGGTCGATGCTCCTGGCCGGTGGCATGGTGTCTATATGAACAGAGCGTCTCCAACACCTTCAGAGTCTGCAACCACTGTTAAGTCCCTTATCAAGTCATTTGACTTGGGACGCCCAGGTATTTGTTTTGTTTCATAAGCAAAACTCAATATCAAACCATGGCCCTTCATATTGAGTGTGTCTCTGCTCCACATTGGCCCCAGGTGGATGTAACCACAAAGGCCCTTTCTAGATCATTCTGCATGCAGCCGCTGTATATGAGAGACGAGCTACAGCCTGGCTGCAACTCCAGTGAGACCATGATAGGGAGTCTGGCTCACATAGAATACAGTCTCTTATTGCTCTCTACCTCCTTCATACCTTGTCACCTTCCTTTTCTGCCCCTATGTCCATTACAGTCAGGTCACTGTTATTTGCCTCTGACCATCTCAGGAGAATTAGCAGGGTCAGCCAGGGCTTCATCCCCTAGGAAGTGAGGTGTTGAGTCTGCGTTCAGCGGTCTCGTTGGCACCCAACCTCCCTCTGTTCTCCCTGTCTCTACCTGGTCCTGTGTGTGAACACCTGTGCTGATCTGTTATTCCTGATCTTGGTACATTTCCAGCTTTTTCTGGAAATAATCTAGCTGACTCACAATTTGCCTTTATCCACTATTATCTACATTTATGAGAAAAATGCCTATCTGTCCCCTCCACCTATAAATATACTAAATAGAAGAAACCAAATGTGCATCTATGCAAATTAACATTTCTTCCCTTGATTGCAACACATTTTCCCATTGTATTAGAGGACTGAGTAATCGCTAATCCTACGATGTACCTGATGGTCTCTGCTCAAGTGGTTTGCAACCAAATCAGATTAAGATTAGACTACAGATACTGAGAGGTGTGAAAGTCCAGTGACTGCATTCAGTCTGTGAAGTTGGGAAATGAAATAACAGGAATGGTTTCTGTGAGGAATTTCCTGTTCCTTCTCACCACAGGTACCTTGTTACATACACAGTTTTCTTTTCCCTTGTATGTTACAAATCTAAGACCATTTAGTCAGCCCTTCCCACTTGCTCCCCCCCTCAACACCACTCCAGAGGAGAAAAGGAGAAAAGGCTTACACCACCTTATAGGCATCACGGGATATGTTCTTAGTGGTCTAAAAGGTAACAAATCAGGAACTGTTATTTGCTCTTCTGAACTGGAACAACATATAAATGCTCCCACTGTTTTCTTGGCAGGTGGAGCTGGACAGGGCCTGGCTGTCCAAAAGACTCCCAGAAGCCCCCTAAGTGGGATTCCCGTGAGGACTGCCCCAGCGGCCGCTGTTTCTCCAATGCAGGTACCACAGAGCCTGGGGTGGGTGGGGCTTCACAGCTGGTCCGCAGAGCCACAGGTGTGGGTTGGGCTGGTGTAGGGGGGTCTTATACCCAGGCAGCATAGGGGATGTGAAAAACAATGTTTTTTCCTTGCACACTGAACACCATTTTTAGTAAGCCTAAAATAACAAAATAACATTTTCATTAAAAATTACACTTTTGAAAAAAACTTACACTTTTGATGCTTGATAAAGGTATAAGAGAGATACTGAACTTCATACAATTTTGTTAATAATTCTGTTTCCCAAAAGACACCTCAAAGTTTTCAGTTAAATGGTAATTGTAATTTTTCCTAGATATGGACATTGAACCAGATATCTTTTCCAAAGATTGCTTTAAAAAAGAAAAAGAAAATGTTTACAGTTTATAAGTTCTTGGAGTTCAAAGAATGTGACCTATGCCTCATTTGCTATATTCTGAAGGTTTTAGACCAAAGCTTCTTATCGTTTCCTAAGACAGGGGCTGCTGATGTTCTTACTAGCACTCAGCATACTGCTTCTGCTGAACTAAGTGCATGTGCTTTGCAAGCATTGTTTTTTAGTGTCCTTAGTAGCTTATTATTATTATTTCCAAATTTTACTCTATGCTTATTTTAAAAGTATCTTTTCCCAAAAACTTCCCTTTAAAAATGAAAAAGTTAAAAATCTTTTTTGCTTCCTAGCTACAGGAGTAGCACTGCTACTGGCTTGTTGTGTATTCTTAGATTTTTTTTTTAGCATAAAAAAGTATGTGTGTTTGTGTGTGTGTGTGTGTGTGTGTGTGTGTGTGTGTGCAGGAGAGAAAGTTTTATAAACTGGGTTGCAACACATTATTCTGACACTGGCTTATTCCACTTTACTATTGGAATGTAATCTCTGAGGGCAGAAATTTTTATCTGTTTTTCCTGCCATTATCTCTTGTCTAGAACAGTGGCTGACACATAGTCATAGTAGTAGAAGCTCAGTGAATATTTTCTGAATGAATGAAGGAGTATGTAGAGGCAACTTTAAATGTCAGCATCTGACAAATTCTTTTCTTTTCAGAACCTATGTAGTGTGCGTAATTTATTTAACCAGTCCTGTGTTGATGGGTATTTAGGATATTTTGGCTTAAACTTACAACAAAACAATTCCTTCTACAAATTTTTGTAGAAATTCCTCTATAAGTTTGTGCTCTCTTAAAGGACTGTTTCTATATAAAAGTATCATGATTAATTTGGAGGTATCAGAAATTACTCCAGCTAGTTAACCAGGAAGGAATTTAATACAGGAGGAGCTAGAGGAGAGGGCTCTAGTCTGCACTGAGCTTCCAGGAAAGGTCGCTTCCTGGGGGGCCCATTAAAGGAACTTCTGTTCCTGCCAGAATCAGGAAGTCATCCTCTGAGTGCATGCCTGGGACTACAACCTCTGTCCAGATCTAGGATCAGCTTTAGGACCACATTGCCACAGGTTTGATCCCTGCCAGCATAAAAAATAATGTCCTCAAGTTTCATCCATGTTGTAGAATGTGACAGGATTTCCTTTTTTTTTTTTACAGTTACTATATCTTTTATTTACAAATCAGTTACATTAAAAATTGGAAATAAGATCACTTTAGTTTTATATTTTTTTAAAGATTACAGCATCATAGCAAAAAGGTTTCATTATCCCATGAAAAATTCTATCATGGAAGATACTAAACACATAATTTCAAAGTTTGAATTAAATGTGGCATGACTATTTTGTCAATCTGAAGAATCTTAATGCCATTCTTACATGTTAATAATATTCATTATATATTTATACATATTTTAACATTCTATACTTTTCATTATTTTAAACATCAAAATATGGGGATTTATTTTGTGACCATTATGGCAAACAATTTTGAAATATATAAAGTTATGGACCCACAATGACTTTGGGGATTGAAAAATAAAAATAGGACCTAGTGAATCTACTCATATAGTTCTACTCCCAACATTGTCCTTTAGACTTTTCCCCATAAAATAAAGGAATAAGGTAGAAATTGTTCATGCTTGCAGGTTTAGTGTTTTGCATCTGCATTGTGCTGACAATGGTGAGTCTAAATCTATTTATCAGATATAGGCAGAAACTGAGACCAGGTAAACAAGACAGTTTCTTCACCCCAACACTTGGAAACAGTGGAAGTTTTT